CCAAAGGCGCGGGATTACAGACTGAGTCACCAAGCCCGGCCGTTGTGTGTTTTTAATGTCACCTTTCTTTCAGTTTATTTTGTTGCTTATAACATCTTAAAAATTATGATCAGTTCATTAGTGCTGTGCCTTTTTAAAAACTCTAATAAAATCATTTAAAGCTATAAGTGAACCTTTTAATTATTGCTTTTTCTGCATCCATAGATTTTTAATATGTAGTCTCTTATTCTCATTCAGTCTCAATATTTTATAATTACATTTTTTTCTCTGATCTATGTTACTTAGAAGTGTATTTCTTAATATCCAAGCAAATTATTTTGTTGTTTTTGTTGTTGTTGCTTTCTACTTTAATCATATTGTGGCCCGAAAAGTGATCTTTGTCTGAGTTTTCCAGTATGGTGGTCACTAGCCACTTGTGTCTATGAGCCCTTGAAATGTGGCTAGTCCAAAGGGAGGGGTACCGTAAATATAAAATAGATGCCAGACTTCAAAGACCTGCTACAAAAAACTAATGTTAAAAATTTCATTAATAAATCTTGATATTGATTACATGTTGAAATGGTAATATCTTGTATATATTGAGTTAAATTTTATTCTATAACATTCATTTCACTTTTTAAAATATGGCTACTAGAACATTCTAAAGTACACAGGTGACTCATGTTATATTTCTTTTGGGCACTACTGGTCTGAAAAATAATAATTTGAAATTTGTTGATATTTGCTTTACGGCCCAGGCTGTGTTCAATTTTCATATATGTTACATGCACATGGGAAAATAATATGTATTTTGTAGTTACTAGGATTAATATTCGTTAGACACACACAGATTAAGCTTGTTAATTGTTTTCATTAATTATTTTTACTGGTTATTTTGCCAGCTTGATTTATTGATAGAGGAATACATGGAATTTTCTTGCTATAATGATGGATTTGTCTTTTCTCTTGTAGTTTTACCAATTTTTGTCTTATCTTTTTTGAGATCATGTTATTAGAAGCTTATAAGTTTAGAGATGTTATAGCTTCCTGGTGAAATTGCTTAGCATTACGTAGTATGATCTTTGCTTCTAACAATTTTTTGCTTGCTTTATCTGATATTAATATAGCTTTAGTTGATTTTTTTTTTTTTGAGTTGGAGTCTCACTCTGTCGCCCAGACTGGAGTGCAGTGGCTGCTCCCGGCCACCACAGCCTCGACCTGCTGGGCTCCGGCGATCCTTCCGCCTCAGCCTTCCAAGTAGCTGGAACTACAGGGGCGTGCTACCAAGCCCGGCTAATTTTTGATTTATTGTAGAGATGAGGTCTCGCCAAGTTGCCCAGGCGGGTCTTGAGCCCGTGGGCTCAGGCAATTCACTCACCTCAGCCTCCGAAAGGTGCAGGATTACAGGCTGAGCCACCGAGCCCGGCTGCTTTAGTTGATTTTAATAAAGCTTTATTTTGGTTGATATTTGCCTATTTATATATTGTTCCATTTTATTCTTTTAACCTTTTTCCATCATTATGTTTTAGAAGTGGATCTTATAATTGTATTTTCTTTCTTAAAGGTCTGATAATTTTTATTTTATCTGAGATATTAGTTCATTTACATTTGTTGTGGTTAATGATTGATTTGCATCTATTCCTACCATTTTACTTTGGGCTTTGCATATATTTTGCCCTTCTATACTTTCTCCCCTTTTATTGCCTCCTTTTGGATTGATTATTTTTTTGTTACTCCTTTTTATCTCTCCAGGAGTTTAGAAGTTTCATACGCCCTGTTTACAGTTTTTTGGTGGTTCTCGTAGAAATTTTAATATGAATACCTAACAAAGTATAAAGGTAGTTACAGTCTTTATCTTCTTCTGAAATGATAGAAGGATCTCAGGAATGCTGTGATTCTAAGCCTGCACCTTCTTAATGTGTGTGCTATTGGCACTATCTTATTTTTTTAATCTCCCATATTACACACTGTCATAGCTTTGTATAATCAAGGTCTATTTAGATTTAACAACATATTCATCATTTTCTTTGCTCAGAATTCCTCCTTTTATCTCAGCTTTTCTACCTGGGATCATTTTTCCTTCCTTCTGCCTTATCTTTTAGCATTTTGTTTGTTGAGCAAAATAAACTTATCAAGAAAAACAATAACTTTCTTGGTTAAGAAGTAATATCTTTATTTCTTCCTTATTCTTAAAAACTATTTTGTCTGGGTCTGTAACTGATAGTTATTTTCTTTAAGCACATTGAAAGTGTTATTTTTCAGTTTTGCTTTTCATGGTTACCATTGAGAAGTTAGCTGTTAGTCCAATTGTCATTCCTTTATATAAAAAATGTCTTTTAGTGAGTTATATAGCATTATGTAGCATACTAGTTAAAGGTGTGTCCTTTAACTACTCCGGAATCAGACTGTCTGGATTTAAATTCCAGTCCTTTGGTTTACTAGCTGTGTGACGTTGGGCAAGCTGCTTAATCTCTCTGTGCCTCAGTTTTCTCTTTTGCAAAATGTGAGCAATAATAGTACCAGTACCTACCTCATAGGATTGTGGTGAGGATGAAATGAATTAATACGTAAAGCACTAGTCGCACGTTTTAAGTGCTTTTAAGGCGTTAGGTTTTTTTTTTCTTTCTCTTTTATGCTTGTAGGATCTCTTTATCATTGGTGTTGATATGTCTAGGTGTGGATTTCCTTTTGTTTATCCTGTTTGAAATTTACCCAACTTTTTGAATCTGTGAATTGCTAGTCTTTTATCAATTCTGGAATACTTCTAGCCGTATGTCTTCAGATACTGCCTCTGCCCCATTCTGTCTCCTCCCTCTTCCTGGAACTTTAGTTAGATTAATTAGTCCTTTTCACTCTATCTTTTGTGTCTTTATGACTGTGTTTCACAGACTCTGTGCTGTGAATATTATGGATAATTTCTTTAAAGCTGTCTTCCAGTTCACTAAATTGTTTCAGCTGTGTCTAACATGTTATTAAACCTATACATTGAGTTTCAAACTTTAATTATTATTATTATTGTATTTTTCGTTTCCAGAAGTTCTGTTTGGTCCCCATCCAGATCTGCCTGGCTGTTTTGTAGAGTTTTTTGTCCTTCACTCGTATGTTCGACTCCTTATTTTATTTCTTTCCACATATCATATATACATATTTTGTATTCTGGTCTGGTAAGTCCAGGATCTGAAGTCTCTGCTCGTCTGGTTCTGCTGCCTGTTTTGTTAGAGCTCATGCCGCTGTGGAAGGACCCAGGAGACAAGGGCCGGCCAGTGGCTTTAAACTGTGAAGGGCCCGTCTTAATATCTTTTTCCTGCTCCTTTCTTCCCAGATCTCGTTTTCTTTTTTTTTTCCTCCCTCTTTCTCAATTTACTTTTTTGAAAGTCTGATTCATTTCCATGATTCAAATAAAAAAAAAAAAGAAAAGAAGGGAACAACCTCCTCCCCAGCTTCCAGCCCCTTGCTACCAGCAGCTTGGGTTATTGGATTCTTACGGATACTTCCAGAGATATATTATGCATATTCAAGCAAATACAAATTTAAAAATTCATTCTTTCTGTAACGAAAATGGTAGCACACTACACATATTGTTCTGAACTTGTTTTTAATAAAAAATATGTTTCTGGTTATAAAAGAAATACATGCTCGCTTTGAATAACATGAATACCCAAATGTCTACAAGTAGAAAGTGAAAGTCTCCCTGGAATTTCATTCCCCAGAGATAACCTCTGTTATGCATCTATAAATATATATTTACATAAATGGGCTTATACAACAGATATTGTTCTGCAACCTATTTTTCTTTTCTTTTTTTTCTCTTAATAATACTTCATGACATCTTTCCATGAATCTTTCCACGTCTCCACATAATCCAGCAGTAGCTGCTTGAGTTTTGGTGTCAGCACTAGATTCTAATATTAGCACTGAAGTTTAGTAGTTATAGGATGTTTCAGATCCTCTCTGAGATGTAGTTTCCTCATCTGTAAAATGGGGATGAAAATAGTATATACCTCATGGTATTGGTTTGAGACCTCTGTAGGATCATGCATGAATGTGCTTCATGGTACTTTTATTATGACTCCTTCACCCCTTAAAATACCCACACAGGCCGGGCACGGTGGCTCAAGTCTGTAATCCCAGCACTTTGGGAGGCCGAGGTAGGGGGATTGCCTGAGCCCACGGGCTCGAAACCAGATTGGGCAACTTGGTGAGACCTCATCTCTACAATAAATTAAAAAATTGCGGAAGGATCGCTGGAGCCCAGGCGAGGCTGCGGTGGCCGGGAGCGGCCACTGCAGTCCAGTCTGGGCGACTGAGTGAGACTCCAACTAAAAAAATAAATAAATATAAATAAATAAATAAGCCAGTCATGGTAGTGTGTGCCTGTTGTTCAGTTACTTGGAAGGCTGAGGTGGAAGGATCGTCTTGCGCCCAGCAGGTCAACGCTGGGGTGGACATGAATGTGCCAGTGCACTCCAGCCTGGACGACGGAGGGAGACTCCAACTCAATAAAATAAAATAAAATAAAATAACCACACAGGCCGGGTGCAGTGGCTCAGCCTGTAATCACAGCACTTTGGAAGGCCGAGGTGAGAGGACTTCTGAGCCTGAGGGTTCAAGACCAGCCTGGGTAATTTGGTGAGACCTCATCTCTACAATAAATCACAAAAAAACTAGCTGGGCTTGGTGGTATGCATCTGTAGTTCCAGCTACTTGGAAGGCTGAGGTGGAAAGATCACCTAAGCCCAGCAGATCAAGGCTATGGTGGCTGTGAGGATGCCACTGTGCTCCAGCCTGGGTGACAAGAGTGAAACTCCAACTAAAAAAAAAAATAGCCACACAGTCACTATTTATTAACCATTTTTCCCCTGATGGATGTTGGATGGCACCCAACTTGTTTGTTATAAATGCCAACTCAGTGAACACTGAACACACAATTTCAAAAAAGGTGTATTTTTTGTGTGTGAATTCCCTACCGTGGGGTTACTGGGTCCTCTGAATTCTAACTTTGTATCCTTTTTCTCTCCAAGGAGGAAATGAAAATGCCCCTTGGGGTGAAGCGTGTATGTTATGTAGGTTTTCACTTTTTGTTATGCCCTTCTTTCTTCCTTTCCTCAGAGGGATGGGATAGGACGGGTCCTCCACAGCAGAGGCAATCTTAGTCCCCCTGGCCTGCCTCAAGACTTCCAGTTTCCCCCAAATCTTGGAACCTGACCATTTCATGATTCAAGGATTAGTGTTCAGACCCACCTGCTTTCAATAATTCCTTATGGTTTGCAAGAAATTAAAAGAATCAAAACACACTTAAAATGGGATAAAAGCCTAAAGGAAGCAAGAAAAGGTGGAGGGAAGGAGAAGGTGAAATATTGTTACAACAGCCCCTCACTCTCTACCAATCCTGGGAAGATGCAACTGCTAGGCTCACAGTTAACACTGAGCTTCCTGGAAGCCATAGCAAAAATGGGAGCAGAATAGATTCTGTAGCCTATTCGAGGATCAAAACTACTCAGCACCTTAAAATGGTCATGATGGGATTTCTCTCAGGGGCAATCGAGGGGCAGTCAGCAGCCTTACAGAGGGGGTGGTAGCTGCACACAGCTGCTGCAGGGGAGGGGCAGAGAGCAAGTCAGTGGCCCCCTGAAAGGGCCATGACAGAGCTTTGAGCAGGACAAGGAGTCGGAACAGGGTGTGTCCCTCCTGATGAGATGCATCTTCGGTCAGAAGGGAGGTGAGAAGGGTCCTAGCACAGGGTACAGTTAACTCTGAGAGTAGCTGGGGGTTCACAGGGGGAGTCGAGAGGACAGGAATGAAGACAGGCTCCACCCCTGGGACAGAGGCTTGTCAGTCAGCAAGCAATTTGTCGAACACTTCTGTGTGTCAGGCCTTCTCCAGACGCTGGAAATACAGTGGGGACTAGGACACTCTTGAGGGCTCTTGGAGGTGGGGGCAGCAGCCGGCCCTGCTTGGCTCTGAAGCTCTGTCTGGCCCGCAGCTGGGCTCCAGGTCAGTGATCCAGCTCCTGGGGGCTGTGGGCCACAGCCAGGCAGGGGGGCAGCTGCTACCAAAGCTGGAGGCCCTCGAGGACCTGATGGAGGCCAGTTTACCCTCGCCTGCTCAGAGGCTTAGGAGGAAGGAAAGGCCCGTGGCTCAGGGCCCCACTGTATGCCAGGTACAGGACAGGTGATGTCACTTAATCCTTCTTGAGAGAGGCACCTCCATGCCTGATTCACAGAGGTGTCACTGAGGCTCAGAGACAGGGTGTCATGTTTACACAGACCACTAGCCAGAGGCTGTAGTCTGGCTGGCCTGGGCTCTGTGTGCTCTTTCTTCTGCACCCCTGAGTTCAGGAACTTGACCAGAGGAGGGAGGGGTGGGGTCTCCAGTGCATCTGGAAAGGGAGCGGTGGCCTCAGTTCCTGGCCCACCAGCACGTCCTGCTGCCCCAAGGTTTTCCGGCCACCGCCTTCAGGAGGTACAGCACGGGACTCCGGTGGCCTCTCGGATCCCTTCCCCCCTCAGAGAAGCTGTTCCTTGCCCCTGGGGGACCTCACCTCTGATGCTGAGTGTCCTCAAGTGGGTGCTGCTGCCCCTGCCCGAGCGGGAGTGTGGGTCAGGGAGGACGTGGGAGTGGGAGGTGACTGGGGGAAGCAGCGTTCCCTGGGCCAAAGTCTGGGCCCGCAGGCACAATCTCAGCTCCTCACCCCTTCCTTACAGAGCGGCCTAGTGGAGGCTGAAGGGGAGGAGCCTCAGCAGCAAGGGACAGAGGATGCAGGTGAAGGGCCATGGAGGGTGCCTTTCTGCTGCCCCCTGTCCTCCCGAGACTACTGGGGACTGGGGAGGATTCGGGTCAGCTCTCCCCTGACCCTATCAACTTACAGCCCTTCCCCAAAGGGATGGGGACTGCTGGCCACCTGGGCTCAGCTCCCAGACAGATGGGGGTGCAGGGGTTCCTGAGGGTGAGACCCCTCTCTTGTCCGCCTAAGCCTTGTGTCCACCCCCCTCCATTCCCTGGGCACTCCCTGGAAGCCCGCAACTCTCTCTGCCCACAGCTCAGCTCCAACAGGAGAAGCTACCTCTGGATTGCAGAGTACGGGGCACTGTGGTCCGCACCATGCAGGAGGTGCTGTGGAGTCGGTAAGTCCTGGCTCCCCACTTCCCCGACATCCTAGCGGCTGCCCTAGCACGCCCCTGCCCCCTGGGGCACCTGCCACGTTCTGAGGGCTTCGGGGTGCATGCCCAAGCCCATCTGGTAGCTGTGAGGTCACTTGCCCACACCAAGAGCCAGTGAAGGGCTGACGTTTGAACGTGGGTCTCTCTGGCTTCAAGGTTGTGCCTCCCACTCAGCTGCTGCAGCTCTCAGCTTAGGTCCTCACGGATGTCACCCACAGCAAACGCTTTCAGACACAACGAGAGTCTGTGCTGGGAGCAGCTCAGAGAGCCGAGCCAGAGCTTTTGTTGACTGATGGTGAGACTGCGGCCCAGAGAAGGCAGGACTTTGCAAAAGCCACACAGCAAGTCAGTGACAGATTCAGGGTTACATCCAGGGCCAGGGCTCTGTCCCTTCCCCTGACTGATGCCTTGCCCCCCAGGCTTCCTCCCCTCCACATATACCCCCAGATTCACTGGCCAGGGCCAGATCCACTGGCCGGGGCCAGGGCCTGCACTGAGGAGTCAGATGACCTGGATTCAGATCTTGCTCTTGCCACTGATCACGTGCCCCTGAGCGGGCCCCACCCCTGAGCCTCAGTCTCCCCCGCTGTAAGTGGAGAATGATGGCATTTTCCTCGCTGAGGTGGGGCAAGAATAACTCGGTTCCTGGAGGAAAATGCCCCTGACAGAAACAAGGTGGCTCGGGCCCTGTCCCCCACCCATCTGTGTCCCTCTGGCGCCACGGGCCCGGATAGACCCACGGGCTCAGTGCCCACGGCCTGCCCTGGACCCTGCAGCCTTCGGGAGTTCCCAGACCTGGCGCTGAGTGAGGAGGCGGTGGAGGGCATCACCGCCGACATCGAGGCAGCCCTCTTTGACCTGACACAAGGCACCAGCTGCCGCTACAAGGCCAAGTACCGCAGCCTGTTGTTCAACCTGCGGGACCCCAGGAACCCGGTGAGCGGGGCTCCAGATTGGGCCAGGGCCTCCCTCCGAGGGCCTGGCAGGATGCTGGGGTGGGGACTCTCGGAGCGGAGTGGTGCAGCCCTGTGCCCCGGGCCCGCAGGACCTGTTTCTCAGAGTGGTTCACGGAGATGTCACCCCCCACCACCTGGTGAGGATGAGCTCCATCCAGCTGGCGCCCCAGGAGCTGGCCCGCTGGCGGGACCAGGAGGGGAAAAAGGTGAGCTGTTGATTCTATCTGAAGGGTCTGGATAGGCGGCAGGACTTGAGGGGAGAAGGTGGCCCGAAGGTGGAAGAGGGAGGGACCGAGACAGACAGAGGGTAGAGGGAGGAGGTAGTTGGAGAGAAACACAGAAACAAGGATAGAGGAGGATGGACGGGGAGAAAGTCAGAGAGACCTGCCCCACAAGAAAGCTAGGAAAAGAGGCAGCAATGTAAGGGACTGGGGACAGAGAGCTCGGCAGGGAGGCGACACACTTCATTTTCTCTGGAGCTGGGCTGGAGGGGACGAGGAAGAGAGGGTCACTGTCCAGACCCTGGATTCTGGGGTGGCCGCCAACCGTCCACGGGGTCATCCCTCGAGGTGCCCCCTCCCTCCCAGCCTTGGATGCCCTGGAGGAGTTCGGAGGCCTTCCTGGGACCCCACGCTTCACGGTCGCGTCCCCGCGCCCTGCGTCCGTGGGCTCTGCCTGCTTGGGGACTGCTCAGGGATGGGAAAGGTGTGGCACTGGGCAGGCTTTGGAGGAGGCTCCCCTGATGCTTCTCACGGGTGGCCCCGTGAGAGAGGAAGGGACTCATGCAGGGGCTGGAAGACACGGGGCTGACTGGAACTAATAACAGAGTCCATCCGGTGAATCTGTCCACTGTAGGCTGCGCTCCTGCCCAGGCACTGTGGGGGCCAGGGGCCAGGACTGGCCACGTAGTTTGTGTGGGCCAGCGCAAAATGGACGGGGCCCTTTGTTCAAGGTGATGATGGCTCAGCCAAGTGTGGGCCCCTCCAAGGTCCTTTCCCTGTGTGACTGCACGGGTCTTATGTCCACGAAGCCGGCCCTGCCAGGGAGGATAGGACTCCTGTCCTCCAGGGGTGTTAGACAAGGAGATACAGGCTTTCAAGAAAGACTTCAGATAGACATTGATCAACAGTAAAAATCACAACCAGCATTTGCTGTGAGCCATGCTCCAGGCTAAGCACTCTGCAGGTGTTTAATACAGGGCTTTTAATTTAATTCCCACAGAACAGATAAACTGAGGCTTAGGGCAGCCGAGTGCTCGCCCAAGGCCCTGATGCCTTGTGACTCTTAAGTAATGGCCCGGGAGGGACGCCAGAGCCTGCACTCTTTCAACTATGCCACACCTTGCCAGGGCAGAGGGTGAGGTGCCCAGTCAGAGGCAGAGTTGACTTGTGAGTGAAGTCCTGGAGGAGGCAGGACATCAGCTGAAGGACAAATGAGTGGAATAGGGAGAGGCGGGACCGGGGGGTGGAGGGTTTCCCCAGGGAGGAGAACGGCAGAAGCACAAGTGTGGAGGCAGGGAAGAGCTTGGAAGGGGAGCCTCGGGAGAGGGGCCTGAGAGAGGAAGGGGGCACTCGAACGCTTGGTGGCCAGAGACCCCCTGCACTGGCTGAACTTGGACTGCACCACCTCCTCAGGGCCTGGAGATCATTGAGCGGCTACAGATGGAGGTGTGCGGCCTTCCAGCCTCCAAGCGGACCCATAAGGGCGAAGTCGAGATCCAGCGGGACCTGGACCAGACACTGAGCCTGGAGGATCTGGTGGCAAGCGGGGGGCTCACCTGGTGCCAGGCAGGGCCCGTGGGCGGGGGGCCCAGGCCTCGCCTCACCAGCTGTGTGGCCTTGGGCAAGCCATCCTACTGCTGTGAGGCCCACCTTATTCGTGATAAAACGGAGCCCGTGGGCCGGGCGCGACGGCTCAGGCCTATAATCCCTTTGGAACTTTGGGAGGCCAAGGCAGGAACATTGCTTGAGCCCACAAGCTTGAGACCAACCCGGGCAACACAGCAAGACCTCGCCTCTCTGAAAACTTTAAAAAATTGTCTGGGCATGGTGTCGTGTGCCTGTAGTTTCAACTTCTTGGGAAACTGAGGCAGGAGGATTGCTGGAGCCCCCAAGAGCTCAAGATTACAGTGAGCTCTGATTTTACCACAGTACTCCAGTCTGGACAACAAAGTGATACCCTCTCTCTAAAAAAACAACAAAAAAGCAGGAACAGTGATCTTTCCTGCACAGAGTCCAGGGGAGCACCGAGTGAGACAGCCCCACGGGAAGGCTGGACCCCCTCCTTTTTGCTTAACCTCAAGGCACCTGCATGAACGGTACCAAGTCCCATCGCCACAGTCATCCATAGCCTCAGCCATGCTGTCCAGATCTCTGGCGAAGAAGCAGGGTGCCATACTGTTCCCCAGTAAGGAACAGAGACCCACTCTGTTCGGTGGACCCGTTCAGGGATGCTCCAGGCAGGGGACCACCCGCCCTCAGGGCAGTTGGTCCAGAGGGCTGCCTGGAACCTGCTTGCCCTGGGATCTGGAAGCCAACAGGGTCTAGCTCTCCCCTTGCATCTGGGGACGTGCCACGTCCTCAAGTCCTGCTCCTTCCCCCTTGGCTTCTCCTCCTTGCTCACAGCCTGCCTGTTGGCACGGCATCCCCGGCTTCAAGGAAGCCATCACCTCAGCCTCCTGCAGCCAACCAGAAGCTCCCGTGGTATCTCTGGCTGTGGCTGGGTGTTCCACGGGTCGCATGTTCACCTGGGTCTAATCAGCTGTGTGTCCCAGAGAGAGGTACAGGCAGGCCCCTTGGCCCATATTCATTCCCTCAGTACATACTGGCTGGTGTAGCACCTACTGGGTGCCAGGCACAGTTCTAGGTGCTGGGGAATGGCAGTGAACACGAGAGACAGAAATCCCTGTTCCCTCACCTTCCCAATTAATATTCAGGCCAATGACCATAAGAACCTCTACCTGTGCAGAGAGGAGCCCTAAAGAGTGTGGCTGGTTCCCAGCCCAAACCAGTCTGTACCCCCTCAACAAACTAAGTGGAAATGTAGGGGGAGCAGCTCGTAGCCCCAAGAGAGGAAGGGAGTAGGTGGCAGGGAAGGGCAGGGGAGGGGAAAACAACACATGATGACAGTTGCTTTATTGAACACCTACTATGTGCCCTCATTCAAACCTCACAGTGGCCTAGAGGTAGATGCTATTCCCATGTCCATTTCTGGGGTGAGACGCCGGGGACCATCTACCCAAGGTCACGCCATGTGGGTGGTGGAGCTGAGATCTGCACCCCGGCTGTCAGACTCCCAAGCCTGTGCTTTGGGGCTGCTCTGGAGGTGGTTTATAACATAAGAGTAGAGTTTGAAGATTTTCTTAAACCTTCCCAAAGCAATGACTATTTCATGTTTAAAGCTATTTCTAGTATGAGGGAAAAAAGTGATTTGGCAATAGACATCAAGCATCTTTAAAATATGCCTTCTCCCTGATTCTGTCATCTGCTTCTGAGAACTTGTCCTAAGGAAATCATTTAAAGTTTAGGAAAACACTCTCTGCACAAAGATGTCCTCCGTGCTATTTATAATAGTGAAGACCTGGAAATGACCCAAAAGCATAGCAAGGGGGGTGATGCGTACACCACAGTCCACCCCATGAGTGCAGTGTCTACAGGGCTATAAAGTGTGCAGATGCTTCTGCTGATTATCAGTGGACATAAAGAGCATATTTTTTTTTTTTTTTTGAGTTGGAGTCTCACTCTGTCGCCCAGACTGAAGTGCAACGGCCGCTCCCGGTCACCGCAGCCTTGACCTGCTGGGCTCCGGTGATCCTTCCTCCTCAGCTTTCCGAGTAGCCAGAATTACAGGCGCGCGCTACCACGCCCAGCTAATTTTTTGATTTATTGTAGAGATGAGGTCTCGCCTGCTCAGGCGGGTCTCGAACCCGCAGGCTCAGGCAATCCACTCACCTCAACCTCCCAAAGGCGCGGGATTACAGGCTGAGCCACCGAGCCCGGCTATAAAGAGCATATTAATTTGAATAATTGACCCCTGTTATAGTTAAAGGACCCCCTCAACACTATGAATAGAAAAATATACCCAGAATATCAACACTTGTGTCTGAGCAGTGGGACAAGAGGTGATTTTTTAACTCAATTTTTTGGTGTTTTCCAAATTTTCTTCACAAGTTCATGGCACTTTTGTAATTTAAAAAAAGTATTACTGAGAAAAATAAGCCACACCCCCCTGTCCATGGAGGGCTCCCTAGCTTTCCTAGCCACCTTCACAGTCTGGCCTCTCCTCTGCCCCCAGGAACCGATGGTGTCCATGGACTGCTGTCCACCGACTCTGCCTGCCCCGTCAGAAGACACCACGGAGCAGCACGAGTACCACTTCCTAGACCCCAACTGCCGCATCTGCACGGGTGGGAGAGGGCACAGGAGGGGCGTGGGGGGTGGGCCAGCTGGAATGGAGTGTGGGGCTCAGCAGCAGCAGGGAGAAGGTGGCAGAATGGGGGTGCCTGGCTCGAACCTGGCTCCAAAGCCCTGGGCGGGCTCCAGTCTCACCGCCTGCCTGTTTCAGCTCCTGCCCCGCTCCTGTCTGCAGACTGTGAACTCTCGAGCGAGCTGCCAGGCTCCCTCACCGGGAATGGTGGGGGCAGTGTCTTCCAGAGAGTCCCAAGCCCAGCTCCAGAGATGCCCAAAGCCAGGGAGATGCCTTCCACGGAGCCCCAGGACAGGTGGGGCTGGGAGCAGGGAGGTGGACACTGCAGCAGAGTTGGGGAAGTGGGGAGACCACCAGTTGGGCCAGCTGCCGCAGGGCTTTTCTTTCTGTATGATCTTGGGTAAGTCTTCCCTCCTCTGAGAGCCTCCGTTTCCCCATCCGTGCAATGGTATGAATTATCCCAGCCTTCTGGTTGCTCTCTGCACCAGGCCAAGCTTGGACTGATGTTCTAGCTGCACAGTGGGGACACAGAACCTGCTTTGAAAGGAAAGAAAGGAGGTTCTGGGGAAGTCCTGATGGCCCGCTCTGCCTGGCCCTGTTTCTGTCTCTCCCTCTAGGGTTCCTCTATCTGGGCTTCAGATGCCTCCTGTGCCCACAAAGGTCCTGCCCTGCCCACCACCCTGGGAGGGCATTCTGGACATGTTCTCCATCAAGCGGTTCCGGGCCAAGGCCCAGCTGGTCTCAGGACACAGCTGTCGGCTCATCCAGGTACATCTGCCCTGCTTGCTGGGGACCCCCTCACGCACTCATCAGCCCATTCAGCTACTCACACTCCCATCCACCAATTCACTC